ACCCGGAAGTCGACCCATTTAAAATGTGGCAACTTCCCAGTTCATGTGGGAGTTAAGGAGTTGCAAGAAGCTGAGACGCTGAGTTGCTGGAGTTTGTTGGTTGCTGTGTTGCTGTACTCAGAAATGAGTTCAACTAGAGAGCGCACAGAGTGATGGAGTTAGAGCTCTTGGATGCAGACGCGTTCAGGATGATCCAGAGACGTTTTGGGATTATAATTTCTGTTTGAACACCACGTACGACTCTCTGAGGGTTTGGCAGTTCTCACGGAGACGCTGAAAGAGTCAGAAAGGAACCTACTCCGACGCTGATTCATCTCAACCAGGTAGAAGGTTCTATTTTCGACTAAGTGTACCGGAGGCCAGCTGATATCTGATGGAGCGTGCACGTTCTGGTCATAACAGATTAATTCCCTCACATATCTCTCTGTAAGATAAATCTCCATTTCATCTTAAACTCTGCTTTCTCTTAAAATCAGTACAGATATTTTAGAAATATCTGAAGCAAAGTCCTCAATCACCGCCGCGTGATTGAAGCTCATTATTTGTGAAACTTGTCTGTTATTATTTTCATATTTTGCCAAATTAATGTAAATGTTTGATGTTAACTTTGATTCTGAAAATAAATGACCGCATTCATTTGATGGGTCAAAGATAATAACGTCTCTCGTTCGCATTTCTGTTAAAATTCAATGCACGACATTACACAGTCAGAAAGATGAGGAACTCGTGAAAATTGTATGCATATATTTCCCTATATTGTCATACTATATTGGTGGCCCCGTAACGTGCTCATAAATGACTGTAAAAACGTGTAAAATTGATTTTTAAATGTTGGCATGTTGATAAAATAACAGTTTATCAGCTGTGATTGAAACGCAGCCGGAGCTGCGCGCTTGGAGCTTGGCTCTGCATCTTTACGCTGTGCTACGCTGCATGTTTTAAGCGTGTTGGTCTGTGGAGCTCAGGAAGCTCACAGAAAGCTGAAATAGTGTCATAAGTCTTTATGAAAGCTGAATCTGTACGCTGTTAAGTGTTGCTAAGCTGGCTTTGATCTGTGAAACGTATTCTGTTTAAACAGACAGGGGGTTCTGTTCAGACCCGGTTTGTCGCTCGGTTCTGATAAGTTCGAACGAGTTGTTTTAAATGGATGGAGAGACGTTTTAAAAGCTGAGCGCCGTCTCAGAACACAGTTAAGAGTTTATTCGTTACATTTTTTAACAGAAAAAGTGCATTTTGACAGTTTAAAAGACGAAAAGTTGACGAATTTTAGTTCACGTGAATCTAGCATGCTGGTTGCTTTAACGCTGCGTCATTGGTTGAAAAAGACCGTGTGTAACGTTCTCATTGGATGAGGGACGTGTCAATCACGTCACCCGGAAATGAAATTCGTTTTCATAGGGAAATAAAATCTGCTTTTTAAAGCTAAAAAAGCGCTTTAAAGTGATTTTGACACACTGGTCAAGTGCTTCGAAGCATACTCGCTGAAATTTTGCCACGTTAGAGTTTAAAATTCGTCATTAAATGATGTTTTTGAACAACGCTAGCGATGCTAATTTGTAGCTAACAGCTAACGACTGGATGAATGACGTGTCACGTCACTCCCCCATGTCGGAAATGAGCCTTCACTACGCTTAAAATCACTAAATAAAGCTGCACATGTCCCATAAAACTCGTGTTCATGCA